AAACATCCGCAAATCCCACATAAAACCTGCACAAAATCTGCATGAATACCATATGGAGTCTGTATGAAACCCACAGAAAGCATGTGAAAAATAACCCAATGAAATCCTACATAAAACCTGCATGAAATACACACAAAATACCCGCAAATCCTACATAAAACCTGCATGAAATTCAACATGAAACTGTAATGCATTCATATAAATTTGAACTTGTGAAAACAACATAGACTGTTATAAATAAACTAACCATCTATGTTACCATCTGTAATATTATAATCAATGTATGCATTGGTAGTAGAATCCATGTCAGTTGCTCTTATCATGCCTATAGTTATTCCTGGATCAGCTTCCTGCAAGTACAATAGATAAATTATTCAAAACTTAATTTTGATTAAGTGTACAAAAATAAACATGTCAAATGTCCTACCACACCACATCTTTTGTATTTCTTATGCACCCCAAAAAAAGTGTGATCAAGTATTTATATTAGGTTATTATGTCAGTTTCCGCTAAGTAGGTATGCATGAAGGCAGTACAAGAATTGTATAAACTGACGTGTAGCATCAATGGATGCAGTCCCTTATACCCTGAATCCATACTTTGAGATAATCTCTTGACAATTTTATTATTACTTTTGTTCACTGCATGTCAAGAATTATTACTTAATGACAAATTAATGACAGTGAAATTGTTTGTATGAGAATTGGTGCTGTGTGATCAGTTGTGTTCAGTATTGGATTTGATTTGCGTAATGTACTATGACAATGTGTCATCTGATGTAAACAAGGAAGGTGTTCAAATAGAAACATTAGAATAAGTGCATATGAATATGTTTAATTCTACTGTTTTCAGAATTAACTATATTTAGATAAATGCACTGATAACAGCTGAAAATCATTGCAATAATATTGGTGTTGTGTTGTGGGGTTCTACAACATTGACCAATTTTTGAAAAATCAAGAAAAAAAGTGAAAATTTCCCTTCTTGCTATCTTAACACATCACCTATTAAAATCAATTAATGGAAAAATAAAGAAAGTCATGCAGAAGATGTGTTAACTAGGTTCAGCTTACAAAAATAAAATTAAGTCAGTAAGTCAACCATAACAATTCATGTTCTGTCATCTAAAAGTTCATAAAACATTCAAGTGTCTTAATTATTGTGTGAGTGTTATACATAGAATTAGTCTTGGCAGATTAAGAGACTTACTTCACTAACAGCAAACTGGTATACAGTGTATTCAAAGACTGGACTATTGTCATTGACATCAATAACACTCACAGTAACAGTGGCGGTAGCAGAACCAGTACTACAAACAAACATCCAACATGTTAGCGTACATGTATTGTAAGTTTACTTTGATATAAAACACATAACTTTGTAAATATTTTTGAATAATTTTCAGGAATCAAAATATAAAAACATAAGGTTTCGAAAAAATAATCAGATATATTGAGATTGACTTACGCTGGATCAACAGGAACCCCCTGATCATGAGCCAATATTTCCAGAATATAAACTTGATAGAGATCATCATAATCCAGCTCTTTCTTTATCAAGATTTCCCCATCAAATAAACCAATTGAAAATACATCCTAGAAAAGACAGAAAACAATTCTTAGTAATGCAAACACAAACCATTTTGTAACAGTGCATCATGACAAAAGAGTATTAGGGAAGATTATTATCTTTTCTGAGCTTTTGAAAATCTTTTGCAATAAAACAAGATACACTCTTTCTGAAAGTTTTAAGGTCACATGATCACTACCAAATAAAAATGAAGCGTTGTATTGCGATTACTTACAAATGCACAGTAAAACATTTTAATTTCGAGAGACAAAATTTTGACAAAGTCAGTGAAAGTTTCTTGAAATTTTGTCTCTACGAATACTATAAAATTATTAAATCATTAAAATTAGCAGTGAAAATTAAACAGTTTACATTATATCAATGCTCACTTGTAAAGACAACTATTTGAGTACAAACTGTTTCAAATAATAAACATGGTATTTGGATTTTGGATTGAGCTTATATAGATCTATTTTTATGTCAAATATTAATTTATTATTAATTTATTTATTAATTTATTTGAGTTGGTTAGATATTTTGTTTTTGTGATCAGAAAATAATAAATAAATCAAAGAAAGCTTAGAAAGAACTCCTGTGTGCTGAGAGTATTGAAGACACATTAAAAATTAATTAAAAATTACTTGTACTTGAGATATTGATGGAATAGCTGAAAACTAATTATGTAAATCAGGTAACTGATATAAACAGATTTAAGTGTAAAACTAATAAGGTCTGCACAATGTACCAAGTTTCATTGAAATGTGATTAGAACCCAAAAAATATTAATTATTATGCTAATGAGAGAGTTAATATGAACAGATTTTAACCCAAAATTAATCAGGCTGTCTATTGTCCTAGAGCATTTATGTACCAAGTTTTATTCAAATGTGATGATCAATACTTGAGATATCAGTATTAATTAATTATGTTAATTAAGTGATTAAGAAGCATACATATTTACCAAAAACTAATATGGTGTATAGTCCTAGGTTCATTGAAATGTGATGGGTACTCTTTAAAAGTTTCATTGAAATCCAATGAGTGGTTTGTAGACATCAGTGCAACAGCCATAGAACAGCAAAAAATTAACTAATTATGCAAATTAGGTAATTAATAGGCACAATTATTTATCCCAAAATTAATCAGGTCTCTGCATAGTCCTAGAAAATGTCGCAAGTCTCATTGAAATGTGATGATTAGTACTTGAGATATCAGGTGAAAAGCTGAAATTAACTAATTATGCTAATAAGGTGATTAATATGCACAAATATTTACCCAAAA